TCTGGGGTTACGACACTTAACCACCTAACTAAGTCACAAATATAACATCTAAATACGACACAGAACTAGAAGTTTCTGTTGTGTAAGAACTGTTCTAATATATATGAAAACTATTCAAAGAGCTTCCTGGTAGAAAACATAACAAAACAAGCTTGTTTCGATGTCTGCGCCTTAAACCAGTCATTGATACGTCGGCAAGCTGATCTCATCCTACCTAGTGTCCATAGCCAAATGGGTAGCTGGGTTCCTGGTTTTAATACAAATGACGTATTCAAATGTCTTAAATCCTTGGATCCATCCCAAAGTCTAGGTCCTGATGGTGCTCTGAGTATTATATTTAGAAAATATCGAGATACTTTATGTCATCCTCTTACAGATACCTTCAATGCATCGTTTTCTAAAAATGCAATACCTGCTGCTTTGAAGGAGACTAAAGTTTTACCTATGCCTAAGTCATCTTCTGGATCAGACCTTAAGTTTCGACCTATGGCTATAACTTCCGTTTTTTGAAGACGACGGGAAAATCACTCCTCCTAATGCCTGAACCTTCAATGAAGGTTTTCAGAGATCCAAAACAATTTGCTTACAAATAAAAGTACTTTAGATGCTGCCACTATCTTACATGATAATATTGTTTCTAGTCTAGATAAAGGTGCTAGGTATGTTCTCTTTGTCTTCTTAGATTACTCATCAACCTCTGACTCCGTTCCTATACCACTCTTACTAAATAAGCTTGTCATAGCTAATATTGAGCCATGGGTTACAAATTGTCTTCATTCTTATTTTTCTGGAAGGAAGGGAAGCGCTTCACTTCATTGCCTACTAAAGCCAGCGTGCCTCAAGATGCAGTACTTTCTCCGTTTCTGTTCTCGTTCTTATTGCATGGTTTATCTTATTCTGCTGAAACTAATTTTATTACGTATGATGACGTCACCTTAGTTGCTCTGAATTAAATAACCCCTGTCTATAACTGACCAGTGGCCTCTCTCAAACGGTCTCAAGTAAAACCCTTCTAAATGTCAGCCTGCTAGTTTCAGCCTTAGGCGTAAACAAGACTTGTGTAAGCTATTTGAGTGCCATGATTGCTGTTGCATTGATGGTGTTGCTGTAGAAAGTAAGTCAACAGTTAACTATCTTGAATTGAGTTTTACTTTCGAACTTTATTGGCCGAATCATATCTTGTTGACTTCCAAGACAAATACAACAATTAACACAATAGGGGGTTAAAATTCAGAAAGATGAGAACAAACAGGAAGTGACCTAGTTGATAATAATCTTGGTAAGAAAACAAAGTTTACTAAGGTAGGTATAGTGTAAGGACAAATTGTTCCTGTACACATAAGTGATTTCAATCTGTTTATGGCTATGGCTTCCGCAAATCTCAGTATACGTCCCTAACTGTTTCTGTATAAAACTATGAAAACTGTTTGGACATTAATTTTATGACCTGCTTCTACATGTTTAGCAATAAATGAAGAGGGCCGTCTTTGGTTTAACGTATTACGTAAAGAAACTGAGACTCTCCGGTTTAATCCAGCCTCTACTTTCACAATTTATTAATTCTTGCATTTTACCTATTTTTCCCTGTTGATCTTTCCTGGTCTACTAAGAAGGGACTTTCATATTGCGTGGTAGATAGTAATAGATATCTAGCGAAGTTCCTAAGAATTCATGTAACCCAAAATCAAAATAGCACCAGCTTCTAAGAAATCCATGTTCATGAATCACCATATTCTTGGTGACACTATTAGCGGAATTTTGACAGTCCCTAACGAGTGCCATAAAATGGTCAGTATTCTCCAGTCAACCGATGATGCTGAGCTCATGCAGCAAAACTGAAGTAACTGATTTTGTTTTCACTACGGTTCCTTACCACTACACCTGTTTCTGTCGAGCCAACTTTATATCATTCGCAAACTCATCACTGAACCTCTGAATATAAATCTTCATGGTTAGATAAAGAACGGACTAGATTATTACGCAGATTCATAATCACATATCCTGTTGTTAATGTTAACCATGCCTTCAAACGCATGTACAATATTCCGTTCATTCTCACTTATGCTTTACAAGTTCAACAGGACTCATTAGGATTTACCTAAGGAAGCAGAATAGTACATACATGTTCAGCTTCTCCCTCTGCCCTAGTTATCCATATGCCTATACATTTAAAGATGATTCTTCCCGTTATTCAGCTTAAAAATTACTAATACCATCAATACTGATTTTACTACTACTATTTAATTACCAGTTTTACCAATCTTTTTCTATGTTTATCGCTAATTATTTTTTTATATTGTGAACAGTTGGTCACTGGACAAAATGACTTATTTAGGCTCCTTATTAATCACTGTTACACAAACAATCAGTAAAATAACCACCTGATCAAGCTTCACAATTTGACAGCATAATTATTAATCAGTTCCTTCACCGATGTCATAATTTCTTGAATTAACTACCAACACCTTGGTAGGCTGGAATTCATAGTCTTTTATTGTCTAACTTCTCATCGTAAGATTATCACGTTGTTTTACTAAAAGCCAAACATGAAAGAAGATTATTCTTTTCGAAAACCTCTCATCAGGTCCTACAACTATGAAATCAAATTTGTTGTTCACATACGCGGTGAATGCATTTTAAAATGAATATGGAATTACAATAAGATTGGTTTAAGTTTGTGGATGATAGTGTGACTTATGTATACGTATGGAAATTGTGTTGTTTAAACTATTCTATATTAATATAGAACCACTGATAAAGAACAAACTAGAGAAGAATATTTCTCCAACAAAATTGTCGCTTTCTAAATATGACTATTTGCACTACTGCAGCCTGTTATTGTTAAACCAAACTGATGACTTGTGATCATTCAGACAGATATACACTTGAATTAAGGCATCATGTTTGCGAATTTAATTCACTTTGAACAATATCCAGATCCTTTAGATAACTGAACGCGTCATCTTAATTTTATTGATCATTCTTGAACACATAACAGTGATGAATACTGTATCCTTATAAATACTTGTTTTCTGTATTTATGATAGAATTTTCTGAATTCATTACATCACGTAGTTTGTCTTTCTGAGTTTTAAATGTCATTTTAATACAAAATTATGACTTTTCCTCTTCTTGCAAGATCCTGAATTATAAGTTCTAATTAAGAAATTGTCGCAAGGAAAGCTTACTTCACTGAACTACGTGCTATGCCTTATTGAGTACAAATACTCATTCTCTTTTGCGTCTTCCAGGCCTTCAGTGTAGTAAACTGAACCAATAAGCTGAGCATCAGTATCATAGTAGGAGTATGTTTGATATCTCATGGCAGTACAGAATAGTTTAAGAAATTTCAACGTCGTTAAACTTTTCGTAAGACTTCATCATCTGTTTCAAGGAATCTCCATAAATTAACACAACAATTGCTCCATGTTACCGTACAAATAACCAAACAAACAAAAATTCTCATAAATACAACATGCCAGTTGAAACATTTAAGGGGTGAAGCAACCAACAAATAAAAATAGATACTGGGTGATGACTGAAGGTGAAATGAAAATTTTGGCCACGACAGGTTTCGAACCAGCGACCACCCAGTTCCTGGCTCTGTGGTCGCTGGTTCGAAACCTGTCGTGGCCAAAATTTTCATTTCACTTTCGATCATCACCCAGTATCAATACAAGTCTGCCAAACCACGGCTATCTCAGATAGTCAAACTGATAAATAAAAATAGGCTGAGTGAAGAAATAAACATGATTTAAGATCAAAAGGAGGAGGAAAATGAAAGTAATACCATCACTAGAAATCAAAAATTGCTAAGTTACACGAAAATCTGTTTATGACAAATCTGAAATGTCAGGTGCTCAGCGAAAAAAAAACAACCTCAATTTCTAAAATTTAATATCAAAAACTTCTGAATAGCTATCTATAGGAGATTTTGGAATGACTGTAAAGTAGCCCCTTGGGTATTCTAAAGAGTAACCATCCTCAACCAGATCATTTAAACAACAGCTTGAAGCATAATCACTTCATCCACCATCTTTGGTATGATTATAAAAATACTATGAAATCATGTACAGATTACTTTGATTAGTTGTGAACCACGTACACTCAGGGTCAAATTTCCCAAAATATGGTCTAAACTCATGTAAGTACAGCAGAATGGATAACACAAACGTTTGCTTGTAAATCGGCTGTAACTTCACAGTCAAGTAATACAAAGAAAACACTTCGACACTGCACAACTCTATGCAGCTGTAAACTGAATATATACATATTTGAAAAATTCCTATTGCTCAGTTACACGTTTGACTTAAGAGAAAACAAGCTATACTCTTTGTTGATGTTGGACAAATAATCTCAAAAGGGGAGGGGGAAAGAAAAGTGGTATTTATGAGTTTAAATACAAGAAATAAGAAAATTAAATCATCATAGACACCGAAATCACGACAAGCAAAATAAGTGAGTACAATACACCTGAGAAAACTGAACTGGAACTGTGGGTGGGACAAAATCTCTAATTTCTCAAATCATGATCATTACTACCTATTTATCACATTAGTATTAAACTAGTAGAAATAATGTTTCATTTTGTAAACAAAAATATCCAGAAGGAAATACTGAGATACATGTATACAAAAGAAATGTTAACAAATGCTACGGTAGGTACAGCCTGTTTATTTATTTTCACAGTACAATATGTAGAAATCCTTTTTTTATCATCGATTTGTTTGTAAAACATAAAATCTATCCCGATAATCATCTTTTAAACAGAATATTTTCATAGGTTCATAAACTAAAACAAGCCAAAATGAGTAGAAGGTTGTTTGAACTAGACGAGCTGATAAACCTTTCGATAACCAACGTATACCTTCAGTCTGCCATAGATAGGTAAAACTCTGCTTGCATGTCATATGAGAAACCTGAATTTAGAAAAACAATTAATATACGGAAAACGTGAAGAACAAGTGTACATAAATAACAAAAAATGATGACGAACGAAACGATTTAAGAAGGCTTTATGTATGTCAACAATGTCGCCTTAACACATGATAATGATTGAAAGTGGGATGAAACGACCATCATAACAACTCAGTAGTGTGGTTGGAACACCTAATAAACAATGCAGAAATTAGACGGAGAACAACAGGTAAAGGAAATACATCACCTTGTGAATTACTTAACTTTCACTGACTGAGGTAACTGATAAGTAGGCTAAGCTGCCACCTATCACTACTTGTAATATTCACTGGAGTAGGGTTAGTTTAGAAGAAATCTAGCGGTGGTCAACCGAAGAAATTCACTCAGCAGTCACCTGGATGTTCTTGCAGTAGACAATGACCCACACCTATTATATGAGGATTGATGAAACTACCTGTCTGTCCAGGCCACGTGTAGTACGAAGCTAGTATGTCTCTCATTGTCAGTCAAAACTGTTTAGAGAAATGTAACCATTTTAGTTGGGATCTGCAAGACAAACGAAATAAATCGAAATTTAGGGTTCACGATCGATTACAGTAACAATAAACATAACCACACCTTATCACTTTATTTCCGTCGCTCATTGTACTACAGCTTTTACTACAGTCGATATTGCTGTTTTACCTGTTTTTCCTTCCTTTTGTAAACCTTTTTTTTAATATGCTGATGTGAAGTATGGTAATTCGGTAAGTTATACGACGTTTTTGATTCTTTCTTTATAGAATCCCATCTTTTAAGAATCAGTCAGCTTTCCCTCAATTTATACAATACAGTTCATCCAATCTAGACGATTGACATCCAGACTTTGTAAGAAACGGAGAGGAAGTCCAGTGAGGTAGTTGCCTGGGTTCTTCACAGAAGACCACGAGGTCATCGTTACACCGGTCTTTAAAAAGGTCTACTTAGTGTGTGTAATAATCATAAACATATTAATCTCCTGAATTATCAGTTCCCCAGTGAAGTTTTCAACGTACAAACCGTATGCCAAGTCGAATAACAGGTCAGGTTTACTACCACTTATCCCGATGACCAGGTTGATGACTGACTGACCCTATCAATTTTGTGGTCATGGACATGCATGTTTTGATTGGCTGTTTCGTTGACCTGACTTCTGAGCATGTTCATCAGTTTTCTCACTAGATAACAGACTGGCTGTATATTTACCTATACTGATTTCTACTCCACTAAAGTGTTAGGCTTCTTGAAGTTCTTCGATATTCTTTGCATATCCTGCTGTCGAAATATTTCAGTGCCGAAGTCAAATTCATCTCCTCACCTGGCCATAGATATTGATAACTTGAAGCCGTTTTACAATTGGTGAGTGAGAAGTGCATGATGAACGTCCTAATGCTTTTGCTATGTTCGCTATAGTCTGTGTTCCGTCAAACCTCCCACCTGTGAAAAGTACGACTGACGACTTCAGAGTGCAAGATAAATCTCACAAATGTTACATCATCAGCATGTCTCCAAGAATTCACCCGTACCCGTGACAAGTGAAAATACAAAGAAAGGATAATTAAGACAATCATCATTAAAATGAGTGAAGATGATAACTATGAATACGTAAGTTACAGCTCAGATGCAAAGCACTTAGCCATTTGATATACTCATCATGCACTCCCTTAAGAAAGTGGCACGAAACCTGTCTATCGGCAAGTCCGTCAGTCAGTTAGTTAGAACCAATAAGGTCGATTTCAGTAGTTGCTATAGTGACCTTTAGAGTCACTTGTGAGACAGCGTAGGTAAGTGCGGATATGCTAAGACAATGAGGTGTATAGAATGCAATAACCATGTGAGCGTTAAAGCCGTATTTCGCAATTAACAATATCAATCGTATGGAATAAGCTATATGAGTTTATTGCCATCAAAATAAAAGTGAAGTGTACACCAAATCAAGGTCTGATCATATCAAAATAATTTGTAATAAACTATTATGTTCACTACAAGATAATTTTCTAAAAAGAAATTAATTAAGTTGGAATAGCAAGCTTTATTTTCTTTAAAAAAGAAACAGTTAGAAACTGAATAAAAACGGATGTATTGTAAAGAAAGCTAACCTGCATTCTCACACGAACCACATCGAGCGGGTTTACTATAATAGCAGATGAGATACCAGCTAACGGGCCGATACTAACTGAATTATTAATCTCGGGAGTGGAGCAGAAGCATAACCTTCCGACATATATACAGAATCTGGAATACGCTCTTTCCATATTGTTGTCGAAAGGAAGTGAATAAGAACTATATTTAAAAAACGAACAATACAGATTACAAGCATTTATCGGGAAAAGTAGAGGTGGTAATTGAAAACTAACAAAAGAAAAAAGTCCAAAATAAATTTTTAATCATTCGCTAGTTAGCAGTTAGAAAGTCGTCCCTTACTGTGATCTTTTAACAAAATTAACATTTTTAAAATCAACAAACTAATTCTCATTGACTCAGATATCAGAAACATTGAAGATGAGGATTGTCGACCAACCGCTTATTGAAAGCACCACAAAAATGGTATGTGAAAAACAGTTATTGCAATGGTAGTGAAGCTTGCCATACGTTATGAATGGATCAGATAAGATAGAAGAAACTAGCAGTTACATTTTATATGATGTTCCTGTCATTGATTGAGCCGGACTGAACCGTTTCTATTGATATATGGGCTCCTGTGCAGATGGCTCGATATTGTCTGACATATCAATTTCGATATTAATGATACGCAGTGGCCACCAGTGGAATGCAGGACGCATATTTCGTCCCATTCAGGACTCATCAGATGGATGTGTCTACTTCCCAGTGAGCGATGCTGTTCCCACTAAGACACGAACCCAGGACCGGTCTCTTCAAACGCCAGTGTTATCCACTTTTATATGATGCTAGTTGTATTATCCCTTCGAGTTAGGTCGGATTACACCACATTAACCATTGAGTTAGATTACCATAGTCCTTCAGTGTTTTCGAACACGGTTGAGATTATGTTGATACTAACCAATAATCTTGAGTTCATTAATATCAGCAAACCAACTGCATTTACCGCTGCGGATGGAAACTAAAACTCAAGATGTAAAAACCAAAGACTAACTGTTCCAAACCGTCTGAGCTACCACGTGGAAAATGCGAAAATATCGGGGGTTAATAAGATGGTTTACAATTTCGACGCCACAAGTTAGTAATGTGATGCTTAGAGAGTCAGACAGATCACTTAAAAAACATTTTCTCCTATACTGCTGAGTCGGAAAAGTATCTTATGCTTCATCGCTTACCCACACCGACCTCACGAAATATGACAATTGGATCAACTCAGAGAAGTAAAATAATTAACAAGCGCACTACATCCAGCCGGCATATTTTACAGGTGGGAGAAACAAATAAAAAGAACCAAAGAACTGATGAAAATGCGGGGTGATTAGAAGCAGCCAGTAGAAAGCCTTGAACCTGTGTTTTATGCTTCCTGACACTGACCAACCTCCTAGGAACCGACACCGACTGCGGTTATCTAAAATCAAGTCACTCAGTGCTACAGTTTGTGACTGTACCGCTGAGCTATTCGAGCTGTAAGAAAAGAATGCACAAAAGATAGAAAATAGAAAGTAAGATATTACCTATGGCCTACCAGGAATTTTTGCTTCTACTTTACGGACCCAAGTCACAAAGACTAATTTCTCAAACAACTTTAAGTATTGATATCATGTCCTAATCTGATTATCTTCGGGGTCTGTTTTATCCCACTTGTACATCAATAAATATCACAGTGGATGATGACCCGATATGAGTAATATGTTCCCCAGTAGCTTCAACTAGTGGGATTTCGCTAGCACATCAAATGATTTTTCGTTTTTACCTAGTACTACGTCCAAAATTTACATTTGCTGAACACCCTTGTTGGCAACATGAAACTGCTTGGCACGTTTTCCATACCTCCTAAATGCAAGCTAGTGCTTCACAAGCGATCTTTATTGATGCCTACTTTAATGATACAAGCAAAGTACACGCTCTTATCACCCCCAATAACTTGAGAAGCTGCCACCGTCTTAGGCCGTCAGTGACCAACGAAATATCCTAACAGATAAAAAAGATAGTTGTTAACTTATGCCACTCGTTGCAGCCGTAAAATGTTTGAATACCTGTAAAATCCCCAAGGGAAATTAGTGTTGCTTTGTGTTCTACTAAGTAGTTGCGAACAGGATATACTTATCGATTTTAATACCACTACACCATTATATATGCATCAAGAAGTATGTCAATAAAGCGACGTAATAACATTAGGACAGGATAAAAACAGAATGGGATTCAAGAAAATAAAAGTCATCCGAGTAGTATTCTCATAAGATGGATAGAAAGAATCGTGAGTTACTTTTATGTTACTTCTTAACAGTAGAAAACACCAGAAAACCACAGTATAAACGCTGTCAGTTTCGCTTCTGAACGTTGGCTGATGACGCAAACCACTAATGTGCATGACCCTTTTAGTGTCATCCCCAGAGAAGTTAAAAGATTTTAATTCGAGACGAATATCCGATATCATAACGCTACACCACAGAATGATCACCGCTCTACTTCTACCTACCTATCAATCCTGGACAGAATGTTGGATGTTGTGTGCAACACACGTTCATATTATTGAAATCAGTTATAGGATTTCACCCCAATGAATAAAACTCACCATTATTTATTACCATTTTCCAATGGACCTGAGGAACACTTACACGGATAATGTGACCCAATGGAAGCAATCCTACGAAAACGCCAGTACAATTGTTGACACAAGTATTTTATTTTTCATTCAGGTTATTCATCTTTACCTTAGCGTGATGAGGAACAATAAATTAATTGTCAATTCATATACTTTCATGTCTGTCCATATACTAAAGTCGTAACTTATTAGTAACTAGACTTCAAAACATGTTGTTGGGGCTATCGACACTACCCGATTGTCTCGACGCTAATAAACCGTAAAATATCGCAGTGTGTGGTCCCATGGTTGACATTTGAATACACAAACCCTTAATGTACAATTTTGGAAAAAAACGAAATTTAGTACCATTTCAAAAAAATAATAAACTGAATTTACTGAATGATCAATAACACTTTCATTACGAAAAGACGAAAGAAAAATAAATCAGGTGTGTTAAACAGAACAACGAAGAAGTAGTCAAAATAACAAGTTACAACGACTTACTACAAAATTTATCATAAAAGGACCACCATAATGCTGAACTGGGCACAAAGGTGCACATAGATATCAAATAGCCTTTGTAGAAACCTTTGAGGCCATGAGTTTGTCTGATATAACGAATCACACCACATAGACGACCCCAGTTAGAATCCATTTCTTTCTTGGTTAACTGTACTGGAGTCAATGGACGGAAATGATTTGGGTTAGTTGATGAAACAGAATCATATTTTTTTGGGTTACTTTTGCAAACCATATTGGCACGGAGACGATTGGGATTTATAACCATTAGGTGTTGGGATACTACATCAATAGGAACAAAAAAGCTCTGAGCAAAACACGAAGCGACAGCGCCACCAACAAAGGATCGATGAACAGGACTTAAGGCTGGAAAGATTGAACATGCATTTCTGGCCACCTCATATGTTGAAATGTAGATAGTAGCTAATTTGATAAGATTGGAGTGAAAATAAGCTACTGTAAGGAATGTTGAGGAACTGCTAAAATCATTAAAAACTGTTAAGCATCAACAAAAGAGAAATGGCAGATAATGATGTAATAAAACGATTTAATCGTCTATCCTGTGGAATCTTAACCGGTGATAAAATAATAGCACGTTGAGACATATCATAACATATGGTTCCTACTGGTCTCAGAAAAAGTTGTAATGACATTATTGTTTTGAGTTGAATAAGACAAAAAGTGCATTGATGTTAGGAGTAAATTTATCACGAAAATCAACAGATGCACAATTGTTATGCTTGATCCTAATCTGGTCTTTATATTTTAAACAGTAACCAGCATAAGAACAAAAAGTTACAACAGCATCTCAGTCTCAGTTAACAAGACAAATTAGTTGAAAACAACATCAACAAAATTAAACAAAACAAAAGAACCAAGACTGAGAAGTGTACATACTACACACGGTACGTAGCATTACCACAGTGGTAAAATCAAAGCATATGGATATGACAATTACACATTTTTTAATCGAACATCTGCCACACACTTAACTTACGAAACCTTGCCAAGAATGGAAATAAGAGGTCGGTTAATTCACTGAAATCTTAATGAAATCTTAATAGCTATAAAAAGCTAATGTATTACCAATTCTGTTTCCTTCCGATGAATAAGTTTCTGGTAATTTTCATTAGTCCATCAAGTAATACCTAAATCTAAGCGGGACTTATCATTTCCGACTTATTTCATTGTAAATTTGAAAGTAGGACAAGCTTTGTTAAACATCTTGAATGTATTTTCCACGCAAACTAAATGGGCTGCTAAGGTTCATAAAATATAGTGAAAAAAATAAGCATTAAGTTTGGAGGGATTCATAGTCGGATTCGAAAGCAAAACCCAAGATCTCAAACTTCCTAAAGGCCGTGTGTGACCGGTCTCAAGCAGATGTCCCATAGGATCTGCGGTGACAAATCGTTTTCTCTTTTCAGGTACCTCACGAAGAAATGGCCTTCCACCGCGTGGGCAGCTGGGGATTTTCGACTGCCTGCACGCTTCAGGTAGTGCACAAAATCCAATCAAACACAACCTATCCTCCTTGCCTTCGCCTCTTGATACTAATATTAAGCCTCTTATGCCTTACCCAACCTTTCATTCTGCAGCCACTGCCAACCATCAAAGCCATAGAAATCCCAGTTCTAGTCTCCTACTACCCAGCCATCGATTTCATGAAAGAGCCTTCAACGTCCGAGATCTATGCTAAGTAGGAGGGCAAGCATTGTTCATTAGAACTCTGGAATCCCGTGGCACGGATGTATGCTGTCTCTGAGACACATATAAAGGACCCGAGTAAAGTTATTAAACTAATCTCACCTGGCTATAGTTGGGAATCTTCAGAATTCACCTTACAAATACCCGGAGACCCAGTGGCTAGCTCTTGTGGACTCGCTGGTGCAGGCATAACACAGAGTTGTAGAGCAGAAAGTGCGCTTCTCGACTGAACATCAGTCAACAGCCGTATATGTGCTGTTTGACTGAACGGGTCTGTAAAGACTGAGAAGGATCTTGAAACTAACCGATGTCTATTTGTAATCTCCGTCTGCGCACCCACCGACTGCAGTTTAAATGATGTTAAGGAAGAATTCTGTGAGAAGCTATAAATTTCACAACAGAAAGCGAAACGTTCAGATATAGTCATAATGGCAGGTGACCAACACTCAAGTAGGGAAGCTGAGCCAATCAGAAAGGCAGCTGGGAGGTATTTACTGAATCTCATGTCAACGAACTGACAACGCTGATCATCATCTCATCATCATCAAGATCAACATACGACCAGGCATTCATCATCATCATCATTATCAACATAGGACCAGGCATTACTGCGTAACGGTCCGAGTTGCCACACCTCATATCAGCACATCAAGTAAAAAGATAGTGAGGTGAAGGATGAAGATAAGTGAATGCAGTCAAAAGAAATATAAAGTACGAGAAGAAAGGAAAGAGGAGTGACAAAATGGTGAGATTCGGTATAGCGTTGTTAAGATGAGGATAATGTGTGTATACATCTGCGCCACTGACTTCGGTTCTGAGCCATATCACCCAGGGTCTCCAACCACTGGTTCCTCTTGTCCCGTGGACCCACGACCAGGCATTACTACGTAGCAGTCCAAGTTGCCACATCCTATGTCAGTAAATTAAGTAACAAGACAATAAAATAGAGGATGAAGAAGGAAAGAAAAGTCGGTCAAAAGAAATAGAGACTAGCAAAAGAGAGGAAGGAGGAATGAGAAAATGATCAGACTAAGTACAGCGGTTAAGATGAGGATAATCTGTGTTTACATCTGCGCCACTGACATCGGCTCTGAGCCATATTACCTAAAATCTTCAACTACTGGTTTCTTTCGTTCCGCGGATCCCAACCAGCTAGTCTGCATCGCTCTATATGGTTTAAACAAACAGTCAAGGACTTCAAGCATTGATGCCATGTTTTACTTTGGTCGCTTCAAGTATTTTTCGAGCCTGAACCTACTTTGGTCAACATTATGTGACGAGGCAGACGGTGACTAGGCATACATGACAGAAGTAACAGCCATCTCAGTCGACGAACGTTTACAACAGCATCAACTGACTAACTTCTACCTAAAACTCCACACCTAACTTCTGTGTTACTCACATGGTGACACCACGAAACATGCCTATGCTACGAAAGCAACGGTGGTCAAGTACCAGAAGCCTTCTCATCTCTTCTACCTTGAATGGCCATGTTTCTCAACCATACAGTAGAACAGAGCGGACTGAAGCACAGTATACTCGACCCTTAATAGGCAATTGGAAGTCGCAGCGGTGTCACAGATGGCGTAAGTTGGAAAAAGCCAACCAAGCATTTTGTATCCATGCAGAGATTTCGTCGGCAACTTAGCCAAGGCTGACCTGACTTCCCAGGTAAGCGAGGCATTCAACGTGCTCAACCACTTCACTTGTAAGCCAGGGCATTGTTGAAGACCAGTTCTGGAGCAACAATCTGCATTTAGGTGGTGAGAAACGCGTCCCAAGCCATTTCAAATTGTCACTGAAGATGTCTAGAAGACTCTGAATCTTGTCGGAGTCTTCACCTAACAAGACTATCATCTGCATATTCTGCATCAACCGAAAATTCTCATGTGATTAGGCCAATCCCTGTGTAGTTAGATGACGAGAGGGAGACATCCACAAGAATATCTATGACAAAACTGAATAGGAATGGAGAGAGTAGGCATCCTGGACGGAGACTCCTCAACGTACACAACTCACCCAACATCTCGCCAAAGGCTCCGATACGTCCACATGTATTTGATTAAAGAGCTTTTAATAGGGTGACGTACTTACTCGATACCCCTTTCAGTGAGAGATACTAGTCGCAGGAAACAGGCGATAGTAAGACCTGTCTATGGTTCATCGGGAGACGAGAGCGCCAAATAAGTATTTAATGAAGAGTTAGCTAAGCATTAATCCGAATGTGACAGCAACCCTCACCTTGAGGAAACTTGGCGTGATATTAAGTTCGCTCTAGAAACAACGGTAAAGACAATGCGTAACTTACACTCGAAGGTTAGCAAACACCAGTGGATTTCCGCGATATCATCCGAACTGATTTATGCCAGAAAACTCACTCCAGCTGGCTCTGATCAATATGAAGAGCGAAAGCAACTCAACAGTAAATTCACCAAGAGTCTTCGCGTCGATCACAAGCAGCGGTGGGTGGCGAGAGCGAAATCGAGAGAGATGGCAAAGGCACCAGAGTTGGGAAACACTCAGTAACTACTTAGGCTTACTAAGGATACTGGCAAGAAGACGACGGTTAGTGAAACCATCACCAAAAAGGATGGGATGATGATAACCTCACAGGACAGATAGTCAGAACGTTGGGCAGAACACTATGAAGCACAGTTCAACTGGGTATCACCAACGCTTCAGTTGTCCAGCATCTAACTCCAACCTAAATTGGACATTGATGTCGATCCACTAACTCTCCTCGAGAAAGCTGTATCCAACCTGAAACAAAGCAAAGCAGCAGAATCTGACAGTTTGCCATCTGAAGTTTTTAAGCATGGAGGTAGGAACTTGCTGCTTAAAGTGACAGAGGTACTAACCTGTATAAAGGAATGAGAGGATGTGCCGTCAGACTGCTCTACTTATCTGACCATCCTAGTTTACAGGAAGGGGGATGAATCTTGTGACAACCACAGGGGAAGTAGCTTGACTAAAATTGTGTCTAAGATTCTAGGATCCATAGTTATTTAACCCTAAGTGGAGTTCGCGAGCAGCAAACTCGAAAAAATCACGGTTTCAGACCTAGTCGAGGGTGTATCAACCACACTTTTGCCGTACGACATTCTGGAATACAGGCATACCCTCCCCGGCGGCCAGCACTTGCCATAAATCTTGACCTGAAGTCGACACTTGACTCTATCGACCGTGAGATGTGGCAATATCTGCCTGCGAAGGGGGTACTGGAAAAGTACATAGTGCTTATTAAAGCTCTCTACTCGAATTCAAACTGCAGTGTTAGAGTCTATACAGGGTTGATATCAGAAATGAAGACAACAAGTGGTGTTCGCCAGAGACGTACAGTCAGAGTTCCAATTTAACTTCGTCATAGACCTAGTCATGAACATAAGCTTAGGAACCTCTGACTCCACAGGGGTTGATCTACTCCCTGGAGTCAACCTGGTTGATTAAGTGTATGTGGAAGATATTGTTGTGCTAAGTGAAGACGCTGACAAAAAGGCAGAATCTTCTGGATGCACTGAACAGAAATCTCAGCATGTTCAGCAAGCGTTTCGCCGGCACCGATTAGACATAAGATGATGCTGCAGGACTGATCTGCAACAACTCGCAGTTTGATGACACGGAGTGAAGTGGTGGAATGCGTAGACTACTACACTTACTTGAGGAGTTGCACCAGCGTGAACATGCTGGTAGGTGAAGACATCTCAGCTCAGATACAC